GATTTGCGTACACGGATCAAGCGACGAGAAGGCGAATAAGCAACGCTGCTACTCCCAAGCCTGAAGGATTTGATGAGGAATGGAGGGGACTAGGCTTAGCTCCAATGAGGATGAGAGACAGGACTGAATTGCCTGAAGCCTCAGTAATCCTGACCAGTGTGAGAAAAGAGATGAAAGCTGCGGGAGTATTGCAGACGAGAATTTTCCTAGCACCCTTCGGCTGCGAAGAAATCAAAGTGGTCCATGGAGAAGAGGAAGATAAATCAGCCGGTACATTGCTCATACCGAGATTCCAGGAAGAAGCTGACAATGACAAACAAGGACCATCGAACTCGAATAGGGACAAGTCAGAAGGAGATGACGGACAGGGTGGAAACCGTCAGACTGAAGAACCCATGCAACAAGATCAAGCTGGTGGGGAGGACGACAGGGCATCGACAGGAGGAACATCCAGCCTGGATTTCAATATCTTCAGTGATCTTGAGAATAATGCAGACACGTTGGAAACGACTGAGCCAGCGGATGAAGGCATCTCGACACTGGAACCTCCGTCAGCCTTTGAGGAGAGGAAACGGAACTGATAGCAGATTGCCATGGAGGAACCGATGTGAATCTAGTGACAGCACTAGGATTCTACAGCATGTTTGGTTCTTTAGAGTCACTATTGAATCTAGAACAGAAACATGAGATGGTCACAGCCATCAGCGTAGAAGTATTCCCAGGAGTTCTGCAGACTGAGCAGAAGTATATAGGAAAATGGAGGGAAGCAATCGAAACAGAGATGAACATCAGACACAGCGAAACTTATTGTAGACCATCAGGAGCACGATATCTGGTGGGTTCAACGTTGGCTCCAATGTGCAAGAGCAGATACCCTGTACATTTCGTGGCTGTGGACGTGAAGAGTACAAGAACGATCGTGGATCAAGCTTTCTCAGTGCCAAAGTGCGTGAGATTGGCGAGAATGTCTGAAAAGTCTTACGAGTTACTATGTAAGATGTTCTCAGCAGTTCCAGAGAGAACCAAAGAGGAGTTGGAGTCAATACTAGGAAAGAAGTTCATGGGATATGTGAGCGGGAACTTCAGTGACTTTGAAAAACAGAAACAGAGAGGATCAACTGTCACAGATTACAATGCAGTAGATGAGAATGATGAAATCCACCGAGTGATGATGGAAGTGGAACCATTGCTGGAAGCTTCAGGAAAACGCAATTGGAGGAGCATCATGTTGACACATGATGAGTTTCCTTGCCACTGCTTGCTGCAGACCTGGTGGTATCCCAAGCGTAGTAATTTGGTGTTGATCTGGGACTCTGGAGAGCTGCTCTCCATGGGTTTACCAGATTCATCACAGCCCATAACAATAGTGATAGTGGGAGTTATGATGGCGATACGATGGCTGGAAGCTCATGTGAGAGAAAATAATAGACAGGAGGCACCGACGAGAGAACAATTGCAGAAATTAGATTGTCTAAAAGATTTAGATCTTTTTGAGACAATGTGCAAAGTTCTAAACATTCCGATGGAAGTGAAGAAGATATGGGCAAGAAAACGATTGATGCCATGGTTCAGAGCTAACATGACTGCATGGTTGTACGAGTATGCGAAAAAGCATATGTCGAAACATGGCAGAGTGTACAGTGAATATCAGCTGGACATTGGGGCAGGAGCTTTCAAGCGAGCTTTCGTGACCCATCGGAATGCAGTGACCACCGCTGTGAAAAGAATTTCCAGGACGAGCGAGCGTAGTGGAAATGAGAAGGCAGAGATGCTGAAAGAAGATTTGGAGAGAAACGTGACGTTGTGTTTCCACAACAGCTTCTGTAGAAACAGAGAATCAAACGTGGATCCCCTACCTTGCTGTAAACAGAGGGTGGAAGAGCAGAAGTGTTGGAGGACGGCTTCCAACAGCGTCAGGATAGTCAATGACGTGCTACAAGACACGGAAACCGAGAGTGCGGAGTCAGCGTCACAGGAGGAGGAAATGGAGCATTGACGAATGGTCGAGAAAACAAGAGGCGGCAAGAAAGAAAATTAGAAGAATTTAGAAGTTTTAGAACTTCTAAACGACGAAAAAAGAAGAGAACAAAGGGATGATGAAGAAAAGTTAAAACTCAGAATTGTTTTATGTGTGTGAAAAACTCAAGTGAGAAACCAAGCAACCAAGTTGTAATTGAAAACTGAAACATTTAGTTGAGTTTTGAAATTGTTGCATTTATAAATTTGCATTTTGGTTTTAGTTGAAGTGGCTTTAGAGACACTCACTTATTATTTATTTAGAAAGGCTTGAGGGAAGAGTATATTTAAATATTCCAGCCTGCATGATTGTTTTTAATCACTTAGGAAGACTGATAACTTTGTGGTGACATGAAAAACTTGAGTAACTTCTTGAGGAGGGAGGTTGTTGCATTGTTCTTTCTAACCACAAAGTTTCTTAGTTTTAATACTCAGGACAATAGACAAGCAAGATTTCCGAAGGGAAGGAGCATAGTAGGATAATTTTAGCTTGTTGGTTGGCAGGACTGTCCTGCAAGCCAACACCTTTTAAATCTAGGAGAAAAAGTTTCAATCGGGACATTGACACTGGAAGTCAGAAAATATGTTTTATCTTAAGTCATATCCTCAATGTGCAGATTAATGAAAGAATTTGAAGGCTATAGTGATGTAGTATGATGCCATTTATATTCTGCAGTGAGTCGATGTGACGTAGATAAAAGTAATTTCGTGTGTTTTGTAAATTCTGTTCGATGACACTGTAACCATTTAGAACATTGCGCGATTCAATGAGGACATTGACCGGACTGTCCGGGGAGTATGTGACATTCGACCAGAATGGCCAAAATGAAATTTATGCAGGATTCGAATTTTGAGCAGGAAGCCTTCCGAGTTGATGATTTCGAAGGATTAGCGACGTTATTGGAACGTTTAGCCAAACGGTGAGGGCTAGAATATTCTAGTAATTTAAATTTTCAAAAATTCGAATGATGACGTCACATTTCTGAGAAATGCTGAAACGGCCATTTTAACAAAAAAGCGAGTAAAAAACAGAACAACTTTTATCTGCGATTGCGAACAGTACGAAAATCGAGATTGGAAAACGACAACGAACTACAGAATAGCAGAGAACGCTCCGAGTTGCAACTATTGTGCTGCTACAATAGTTGCAAGGCCGTTGCCAACAACGGTGAAGGGTGAGAACCAGCCTTCCGGATTAGCAAGAAATCAAGAGTAAGGAGCTTGATTCGGCGGATTCAAGAATCCGGAAGGGTCTCGGGACGGAAACTTTTATTAACTCACATAAACTTTTAGCATCCTGTCATGTCCTGACTTGAATTTAACTGATATTTTGATTAGTTTTGACAAGGATGAGGTGCTAGGAGTTGGGGGAAAGGGTTGATCCATCTTCGATGGAGATGATGATTTTTATCTACTGAACAAAAACAATAGTAATATAATAAGTAGTAGCCCTGTTTTTAGGAGTGACCTCGTGGTCTGGGGATACTGAGACCCAGCCATGAGCTCACTATTTTTGCATGTAATTCAGTTAATTTGAGCGTTCTGGTCGAAGCCGGAGAACAGTAACGTTTTTGTCGACCCGATGTAAGAAAGACCACCGAAAAGTACTGGCTTGGTAGAGACGGTGAAAAACATGCAAAGCTCTGTTTAGACGCTAGCCAGTCGTCTTAAGACTTAGTTTTGTTATCCGTCGATATGTATCTTCCGGGCGAATGTTACATAAGGCAAGTTCGACAATTTGATTTTTGCTAGTTTAGGGTAAATGTTCTTGGGTCTATGAGACCTTGGAAAGCATCCCATGGGAAATACCGTCCTGTTAAGAAGAATGATTCCTTCGCTTTTGATGCTAGTTATGAATTGCTCTGCTTCGGGGGGAGCAATAACTGTCAGTGTATGAAGTTTGCGGTCATCTTTCGTCACGGTTATTGTTTTTGAGATTGTCATCTTCTGTTGCATTGTTGTGGGGAATTGTTTAAGTATATCGGAAGCACAACTTCGATATGACTGAGCCAGATTTTCAGCTGACCTTACAATTTCTCTCGAGAATGGGGGGATGATTTTGATTATTTGGATTTGTTTTGTTTGTGTCGTCGATTTGTTTGCTGTTAGCGCATTTCTGAAATTTGTCTCCGTTTCAATCAGCACTTCATGAGTAATTGGTAGCTGAGATTCCGTCAGTTGTTGTTGACTCATGACTTGGTTTTACTCAATGGGGGGCAAAAAAGCCTTCACCCGTAGGTATACTTGAAAAAAAATTAGATTTTTCTCTTTCAAAATGTAGAAATCAAAAGGCAAAAACATCAACTATATTGCACGTGCATAATTAGCCAGATTATTTCCGATTTTTCAGAATAGTTATTCGTTTTTTACAATTTTTCATAGAAGGCATGATATTATATTTTAAAATTCAAATCAATGTTTTGCTTGCTTCCCTTTGGAGTCAATCATTTAAGGAAGACGAACTGCAATCATCTCCCAGAAAATCTAAATGATGCCACGTGTTTTGGCTGAAAGTTTTTGCAAATTTAGGGCTGTTCTGATTTTAAAACACAACAAAATCAATGTTCTGTTTTGATAAAACAAAAAAGAAATTTCTAAATAAAAATGAACACTCTAAATGCAACCATGAAACATATTTTTATCACTTGTTTCGAACAAAGCTACTTTTTGTAAAGCTGTTTTAGCATCATGATGGAATGATATTAAGAAGTGCATGTATTTTTTAACGACTTCAGTTGATTTTTCAAAAGATTTGAATTCTTAGCAATTGTAAACAAGACGAACGTTGATTTTTGATTGCGCCTTATGACAGTGTCCCTTACTGATGGACAAACATTAAAAACTACGTATTGGATATTTTTCGAAGTAGAAAACTGAGCACCAGTTCTCTATGATTGGTTTTGTTTTCTTATATGGACAGAATGGACCATAAATTTTCTGATCTATTTTAATTTTTCCAAAGTGTTATGATGTTTTTCAGAACCAAGATGAACTTTCATGAAATTTTTGTATCCTTTTCTTTTCATCATAAATCAAATCGCTATAACGCTTTGCTGATGTCATGCTCGCAGAATGACCACTGAAAATGCCCAAAGGCCTCTCGGCAACCACGACGTGAGTTGATACTTTTTTTTTGTTAATTTTATCCAGTTCTTTGTTAATTATCCTCGTGTTTACAGATTGCTTCGCCTGCAACGGAAGAGTATGGTAAGATAACAATAAACGATCTTTTTAACTTTTGCATATGATGTGCTCCTTAACCTTTTCCCGCCAAATCCATCCAAAACTTAGAGAGATTTTATCCAAATCAGCTGCCTTTCGGTTTAGTATCACATAATCTATACGGTTTTTCAGGTTCGATGGGCGTCTGATTAAATTTCTCGGCTTGGTGTGTGTACACAGAATATACCAACCAAAATCATTTTTCATAGAAACACAACCGCAAAACTTTCAGAACAAATTTGTTCAAAAGATAAAAGTGCCTTATGTTATGCATGTACCTGAACTAAACTTCAGTTATTTCAAATGCGGCGTTTAACCTGACCTAATCTAGCTTGGCCTAATAGACATTTCAATTATTTAAACTGCGGCGTTTTTTGGGTTTTACAGAGACTCAATTGTTTTGTTTTTCTATCACATTTGATGTTTGCTGTTTTCATGCTGCTTCGTTGCATAAAAATTTTTTACAATGGATTCTTTTTTTAAATGACCTATTTTGTGGAGCTTTTTTGTGCATTTTATCTCATGTAGTGCTAAGCTTTGACCCTGACGCCGGAAATAAAAAATCACAGTTCCGTCGTCTTTGAAATTTTTTCATCAGATTTGTTTGAGGCTGGATCCATGGCGCTCACTCTTGACTATATCTTGTTTTAGGTTGAACAAAGTCTCTGATATTTTGTTGAAGGAATTGCAATTCAATGTAATTTTAAGTATTTCATTAATTGCTGTGTTGAAATCCGGTTCGGAACGACTAGTTGTTGCAAAGACGCCTTCTTCATCAGAATTTAATAAAAACAAAAACTGGTCCGATAGTTTTTGCGTTATTTACAAAGAAAAAAAATGCAAAAGAAAAGCGTCTTTTTTGAGCGCTAATTAAACGATTCGGTATTTTTGTTGGATTTTTTCATTTTACACATTAAGTTCAAATAGTTTTTTGGTTTTTTGGAGCATCAGATCTTGATTTTTCCGATTTTTTTGTGCGCCTTTTCACTTTTTTACCATGCGATAAGCAAGGGTATTGCAATTGGGTACTAGATTTTTCCCCCGTAAATAACTTTGTTCATGCAACTGATCTCCTGGTAGTACCTTGGTTTAGAATGATCTCAATTTCCTTAGCGCCTCCTGCACACTGAGCATGGTGGTATCAAATACTCCTGGGACGGCAAAGGTCCTGGGTTTGAATCTGACTAGGACCTGTTGTTTTTTCAAATAGTAATTGTTCTGTTTCACACAAAATTGTCGGCCTAATAAGTCTGCTTAGGACTCGTTGATTTTTGCTGTACACAATTTTAATTGTAGTTGCTTTTAGTGGTTTTTCATTTTTAATATCTGGTCGGATCAAAATTTGCTTTTCATGTTGATTGTAACTTTACCATTTCGGGTTGTTAAAATTCTTTTTTCTTGCTTTTGTCTTTTCCCTACTTCATAGGTTTTGACTTATTTGATATCAACTGAGTGGCCTCTTATTGCGTCGTTTGATTACCGAAATTTTTTTTGTGCGTGTGTTATCCTGAGGGGATTCTATGTATAGTTATAAAATATGGGTCATACTTTTTTGCTGATACTTTTTCGTCTTGTTGGTTGTCGATTAAGCTCTCGGTTTAGTTCCCGAATTGTGTATACCACCTGGCATTGGATACATGATGGCTTTCGTGGATAATTTTGGACATGTATTTTTTCCAATAAGATTTTGCCGATTATTTTTGGTTGATTTTCAGTTGATTGGCTGTCGGCTGTAATTCTGTCGGTTTATTTAGCTAATATTTTGTTTCCAACATATTTCCCATATTATTTATGAGACAGATAAAACGTTGGCTCCAGACTTAGGAATGCGCAAAATCAACCCCTATTCAAACTCATTAATAAAATTTTAATAATTTCAAATACAAAAATTTTGGATTTTCTAGTTTCTTCAACGATAATAATGTTCGAAGTCCTTTTCGACTGTTCTTCAGTGTCTCACAATTATAATTTGATACTTTTTTTTATTGCAAAATGTGCGAAGCTCAGCTTTGCCTGTTTAGGTGACTTTTTCCGACAAGCAGTTCTTTTTTATTGAACATATTTTAGTAAAAGGTTCGTCAGAAAAAAATTTTATGCCTTGAGGTTTTTATCGCTTTTTGTTTCTCATTTTTTACCCCAGATTTATTTCATGCTCTACTTGTTTTACCCATTTACCCAGAGCACAATTAAACTCAAATCGAGTGTTCTACGTTTAATTTTGTGAGAAAAATGATAAGATCAGATCATAAAAAATCCCTGTTTTATATACCAATTAGTGCGGGATTTTAATGATATCGAAATGAATTTTCTTTAGATTACGCTAAAATCAAAAAATCCAAATTCAATTTTTGAAACCGGTTGTCTGGCAGGACAAAAATTTCCTCGCGTCAGAAAATGCAGATTGTCTCTTCAGGAGATTTTGATAAAAATACTCTCAGTTTTAACATTTTTCGACGATTTTGTCTGAATGCCATAACAGCTAACTGCTTCGATCTTCTGAGTGATACTGCAGCAAGAATTAGCATTCATATCAAATGAGCAAAGATCATATCATAGGGAAAGTTAGCAAGCCCACATCTTAATTGTGGAAAAAGAAAGCTTTCTGATTGTTATTCACTGTTCATTGTTTTTGAGGATCAATTTTAATAAAGAAGAAAAAATTACCAAAACAGCAAACAAAGTTTTTCACAGTTGAGTTCGCAAAAATATTAATGACTCGAACGGAAAGACCTAGGTTTGTAACGTTCAAAATAAAAAAAGGAAAAAAGTTCCAACTCTTCCTGTATTGATATGTTGCAGCTATATCTGTTGATTTTAATTATATATCCGGATACTCTTTGATACCAGACATTTTGTTTCATCGACCAGACATTTTGTTTCATAGGTATAGACTATTTAGATCTTTACCTCAAGTCTAACCAAAGATCGATTAAAAGATTACTTTGAAATCAATGAATCTTGCATTTGCTTTTTCAAGCAAATTGTTATTTTAAGCTTGGTAGTTTCTTTTCTACGTTGAAAGCCGAAAAAGCTAAAGGAGTCGATAAAGTCAGTTGTTTGCTTCCAATGTCGATTTGATGGAACGCTGTGATGGTAATGTCAATAGATCCCTTTCTTGTTTTTGTCGTTGGAATGCTATCCCACATCTTACCTGTTGCAAGTAGAGTCATTCATTAAAGTTAATTGGAGCCGCTTTTATTCCTCATTTTCATTGACGATAAGCTGGACTCGCCGGATTCTTCTAGCTCCATTTTCATGCCAATGACACAAACGTATTAGCAACTTGATCTCTTTTAAATCAAAGTTTGCAAGACAACTTTGGAGTTTTTAATCATGGGCGTCTGATGATCAACTGAGTGTTAACTTGCTTCGTTTGTTGCTACTGATTATTTGTTGTTTGTTGGGAGCAAGAAATTAGAACTAAAAAGGACTCTGACACATTTTGGCCGCGAAATGCAGGCTAAAATGACGTGGGATGAACAGATGGCAAAAAAGCATCTAAAAGCTGGACAAGTTTTGAGTACCTGCGCCAGAGCACATCAAGAAATTTCGTTTTGGAGTTTTCATGTCCTGTCTGTTGTTTTATATGGGTTTGCGCTGTCTGTTTGCTTCAAAAATTAAAAGTGCTTAAAAACCAGAGACTTAGAAGGTCAATTGGATATTTACTTTATTTTAAGTTTTCAGAATATTCGATGTTTTTTTTTCAACTTCTTTCCAACTCATCGAAAAATATATCGGTTTTTCATTAGCATCAAGTTAGGACTCAAATGCATTCACATTGATAATGATTTCTGCCTTGCAATTTGGGCAAAGAATTTTCAGAGCATAGCGATTCATCAGTTGAAACAACGGCTTGCGAACAAGCAGTTGACAGTTTTGTCTTGTTTCCTCAGAGTTATTGATTGCAAATGATTTTGTCCAATTATTCATTTTCAACCGAATCGACTCGCCGTCGAATATCAATTTTTTTTACAAACCGGTTTTCTGGGTCAATCAAAAAACGTAGACGACCTGCACAGACTTTGTACCTGGTTGTCGATGCTGCTCATGTGTTTGCTACATTAATTTAGTGATTATCTCTGAAAAGTTTTTTAACGTCGCTAATTTTCCTTCGAGTTTTTGTTCATAATTTTGACATTTTTATCGAGTAATCAAACTCTTAGTAAGTATTTTTTTCGAGTAATCAAAATTACAGCTGCTTAAATATTTTATATCACTAGTCCTTAAACCTCGAATCTCGTGTATTTCGGCAGTTTCTTAAATTCGCTAATTTTCTATTTTTTTTTGAGAACTTGATCACAAACTGAGTGTTAATAACTACCGGTTGACCTAAAGTTAAGCAGCTGTGGCAAAGCATTCGAATATTACGCCTTAGTAATAATAAGTCTAATTATTTCGTGAACTTCGACTTGCTGTATGATGGTCAGTTTGGGTTTTGCAAAATTGTTTCAACTATCGATAAGCATGCCAAATTAAGTAAATGCATTTCCGTAGGTTTCGATAGGTTGTGGCGTTCCTGCTTTTTGTTAGAACTGATGTGAAAGTTATTTATTCAAAAGATATTAATACGTTTAATTAAATTGTCAAAATTTTGGTTGGTTGTCGGTGAAAATGGGGGTACAGAGAGGCTCTGGTCTTTGGTTTTAAATTTTTCTTTTTCCTTTTTAAGATCTGCATCTTTCAGTTTTTGATTGTAATGTGCTTCATTATGCTGGCAACATTTAGTGGCTTGTAATATCTGAGGTTATAAGCAATTTAAATAAATTTTTTTTCCGTGATTCTAAAAGAGTAATGTGCAAATAGATTAAAGCTTAGAAAGCAGTTGTTTTTCTTTCACAAATAAATATTAGGCTAAATTTGGGTATCTTACAAAAAACGGCGATTACTTTAATCGGAGAATTGGTTAAGCTCGCTTCGAGTCCTCCAGAATAACTATAAGTCCTTCGATTTCGCTCTTTGCTGTGTCCCAAACACAACAGCTGGTTGAAAAATTTAGTTAGGCAAAAATAGCCTACTTGTTGCAACGCAAAACAAGAGTATAAATGCATATAAAATAAGACCAGATGGCCAAGCTGACTAATACTACGTGACATGACAGTTGACGTAGGTTCGAGTCATCCACCTGCCCATGTATTAATATACTAAAAAAGGGGGTTAAATCCTATTTTAACTGTTTTTGGTTCTAATTCGGTTCAACCTTGATTAAGGCTGACCGCCAAAAAGAGCAATTTGTCTCAAGGACATTACCGACCGGTTCCTGTGGCTAGCTTGCGCCGATTTGTACCAAAAATGAGCTGTTGATAAGAAAAGTTATATGATGTTCTGATCAATAGAAAAATGCCGAAATTAATCTATTGACTGAGTTATTTGCCGAGAAAAATCTCTTATTAATTTACGAATTTGGATCAGTTTTGGAGATAAGAGCGGCCACACTACTGCTGTGCAAAGAATCAATTCAGATAAAGAATGTTATAGAACACTTTATAGTATCATGATTTATGGAACACTTTATAGTATCATGAAACAACTTTTATAGCATAAAAAACTTGAAATAGTAAAAAACAATACTTTCTCGGAATTATCATTTTTGTTAATGAGTGGAAAAAAATCTGAATTTTCATCGATTTTTTTCTGCAAATTTTTGGTGAAAATGTTGTCAAATTTCATCAACTTAAAGAATGTTATAAGCTTTCATTCGGTTCCTTTCTCAACATCATATCCAACATTTAAAAGTAATTGAAAAAAAGATTTGCTTCATGTTTAAAAAAAACTGTGCGTTTGACTTGGCTTATTTTGGTTGTCTTGGTTCGAACTGCTTGTTTCTAAATCCGAAAATATTTTTGGTTTAAGCTTGATGCGATTGTTGCATAGCAACTTCCTGCTGTCACTATTTTATTTATTGAAGCTCACTATCCCACCGAGCATTCGAAAAATGTCTTCGTCATCATCTGGATTAAGTTGTTGAAAGTGCAATGTAGTCCAAAAAGAATAGTATTATTTTTTCCGAAGTAATAGTAATGCTTAATGGGGGTAATAAAAAAGAAATAAATCATCAAAAAATGCTCCCTTTTATTGACTACATTATCATCAAAAACTGATATTTTCAATCTCTGTTTTTCGAAAGTCTTGCTTTTTTCAATCTTTTTTTTTCGAAAGTCTCGAAGTTTTGAAACCATTTAGCCTGTAATGTATTCAACTTTTTGAATTGGTCGAATAACATCAGAGTATCATTTTAAGAATGCTAATGCAGCCTGAAAACTGACAATTCACATCTGTCTAGCTTTCGAGTTATTCAAAATCTTTCATGAAGAAGAAAAACAAGAGAAATATCAAAAAAAGTTGTCGTGTTAAAGAAAATTTCACTGCAAAATACGAACTTGTTGATGCAGAACTTTAAATCTAGTGTGAAAGTTTACCCACCCAGTTCCTAGTTTTTTCTATGTTTGATAAATTCTGAAAAAAGTCTTTTTTAATATCATTATTATTTAGTTTTTAACACTTCGCTTTGATATTCGTGTTAGTTTAACAATTTTTTCCGCTGTTTTTGAACAATTTGTTGTAGAAACACACGAAACATTTTTTCAAGTTTCGTGTATTTTTCTTATGTTCGCTTATTCACTCTACACATTAGAGTTTATTTATTGAATGAGTATTCAGCATTGCAACTGTTTGATGTCCAACATTTAAGAACATTATATTTTTTTTTGATATTTTTCTAACTTTTTTTGAGGAAAACTGTTGTGAAAAATAAGATATCTACACTCTCTATCGCATAGCATAGACTATCCTTGTATTAGTTCGGCTTTTAAATCTGTAAAAGCTAACTGGCTTTTTCCACCCCTTCTTCTGAATATTAGTAATAAACACAAACTAAATGTTAACTCAGTAGTTCTTTAAAAAACTTTCTTAAATGTTGAGAATTAGCTTTCGAATCTCTTTATTTTCGAAAACTCAATTTTCGATTTGCTGTCAATGAAAACTTTCTCTGCCGAAGTGATGGTGGCTCTAATATTTTGTTCTACTTGCACGGCAAATAGCTATCCTTGTATTTATTTGAAAATTGTTGAATACTTTAAAGACAGCTGTAAAATGAGTATAAATACCTTTCATATGAGTCGACAAGCCTTTTTTTGTGGAACTGGACAGCACTTCATATCAATTGGCACGAAGCTCCGCTTCGCCTTTATGTTCAAATAACCCGATTTTTTTGTAATGATCTTTTTACATACCTTTTCCAAGTTGGTTCTACTGTATATTTTATCTGTATATTAAAACCATTTAATTTATCAGTTTTGATAAACTTTTTATTCTTCAATGACTACTTTGTTCGTTAAGTTTATTCTTTGTACAAATAATGTTTATTTTTGCCCAGCGATTGAATAGACCACCTTTTTCAAATTGCAATCGTGTTGGTTTTCAGCTGAGAACACAAACAATAGTCGCAAACTGCCTGAGCTACAAAAAGTCAAGACAGTCGCGACTGAGTCCAAAAGTGGTCTAAAAAGAAGTGCCTCCTCGCATAACCTCAATCAAGTCAAGTCATCCAGAAGATCCCTCTCGGCCTCCAAGTCCAGATCGACCGCCCAGTTGACTCACACTTCGCCTACAAAGCACACAAGCAATCAGAAATCTCAACAAAGTATATCTAATTATTGTACACTAGAGTTTTCAATTTCCTTCTGAGCAAGTTGGATGTTTTTGATCGGCTAGTGATAGCAGTTTCCCTTGTTTGTTTGTGATTGAACTGAATGTCTGTTGGTTTTGCCATATCACATTATGACTTATCGTATACTTTTGTTTTGTAAACGCCACTTAAAAATCGATGTTGTTCTTTCTTTCGCTCAAACGCGGTTAAATCTGATGTGACAGTGCAGAAATTATCGTAATAACCAGTGAAAAATTCATCAAAACCTCGCTAGAAACTAAAAATTGGAAAAAATAATTGGTAAAATTTGTATGAACTGAACTCAAAGAAACTGAGTTTCAGATGGAGGCGCTAGTCGACTGTCTCGATTCATGTCTTCGGATCACATCTCATTCAACCCTCTAGCAACTGCCGACCCTGATTTAGCCTCGAGTGCGCGTGCACAGGTTGAGCGTGCAATAAGGGAGCGCAAAGTTTTCACAATAGTCGGGGGTTACAAACCAGTGCGAAAGGGATTGCGTAGACGAAACTACGTGGAAAAGGTAGCTGACCGCGTTTCAAAGAAACAAGGTGTAGGGGGAGGGGGAGTTGGGACTGACGGGGAGGAGGGGGGTGACGGGGACGAAGAAGATGGAGAGGGGGAGGGGGATGGGAGTGGAAGTGAGCTGGACTTCAGCAGTGACTCAGAGGACGAAAGTCCGGAAGTGAAAAACCTCATTGTGAGTATTCTATTCGCTTTTTCGTTATAAACTGTTTAATTATTAATTAAAAATTTTTATCTTAAGTGTGTTTTTTTTTTCATTTAAAAGTAGCACTGTGATTGAAGAATCCGACTGGTGAGTTAACCACTTAAAATCGATAAATACCTAGGCAGGTTAACTTTATTTACCTACAAGGCGTCTACAGCCGTTGTTTGCCCTCCTAAGTTTTACTATTCTTGGGATTTTGCTCCTCCGGGTAAGCGGTTGTGAACAAGTTTATCTGGGTTTCAGGCGCGCATCATTCGCAACGTCTCTCCGACCTTCACCTGGACAACTAAGATCCGATCGGAAGACATCCGACAGTCGAGGAGCCTCTACAACCACTTTCCAGCTACCTGGTGCTTTACAACCAAGAATGGACTCACCCAGTCCATTCGGGACTTGCCCTGGCACGGGACATTCTCGGTGGATCAGATTTACCCCAGATGTTACCGGATCGGGTGCGAAGCGGAACGGAACTCTTTCATTGGTTAGCAAAACCATAGAAAAAACGGAGCTCACAGTCCAGTGTCGTCTTGCAAAATATATGATTTAAAATAGATTTTTTTTGCTATATTTTGTTTTAGTTTTGTTGATAAACGTCTGAACCTTACCAATTTCTTATTTAATTCCAGAGGATTTTAAACTGACGGCCGCAGTTGGGATTCTCAAAACAGTCGCCAACTCATTTGCACCCCCTTATCTCCCTCCAAGGTTGTCAGCTGGTAGATTCCGACCGCAGTCGCGAGGTGCAAACAGCCGACCACCTACTGAGCCGAGAGATGACCAAAACAACCAATCAATGCACTTGTCAGACGTCGACTCCAACAAAGGCGGCGACGAAATGGTCGAGGATCCGAATGCTGACCCTAGACTCGTCGTTTTCAAAGTGGATGAAAATGCCTCGAATAGCGACTTGAACAATAATAATTGTAAAAATGAAAGTGAAAATTTGGCTGAGGCGGAAAATAGGACTATAGTTGCGGCGGATGTGAGACCTGCGAGCAAAAGCATGTTGGCTGCCATGAGTTCTCAGCCTCTATCTCCCGGTGCGTTTATTTAAAGAGCTGCTTTTTCATTTCGTTCGCTCACCTTTATTTCGTTATTTTTGTTTGATTTTGCCAATCGGAGGAATTTGAGCCAGACATTTGTTTCATTATCTATTTTCTTTCAAAGACAAACCAAACTTTTCTTATGCTTTTTTGGCTTCATTTCATTCTGGTGGTTTTGAGCTAACTTTAAACGAGAATGCTATTTGTCTTCTTACGTAGATGCTGTATATTTTTAAAAAATGACCTAAAGAAATGATTTCAATTAGTTTCAATTGTAGAATGTTTGATGTTGTTTCAGTCAGCTTATCGCGCAACTAGCATAATTATTACTTATTAGGCCTTAAGTCTCCCTCTGCCCAATCACAGCAGCCTCAGCCGACCAGTTTCGTCCCAGTAACCTGTCTGACACATGCCCTGTCGGCTGCCAGATTCTTCCTGAGAGAGGAGCAGCTGGAACTAGTTGATGAGCCCCTCTTGGATCCCAGCTACTATCTAGGACTTGATGAGAGTTCCTGGGAGGAGTTCCTGAAGCAGTACTACAAAGTGGCTCAGTGTGTTTTTTTTATTTAAATCATTTTTTCTCGAGACTTTAGTGCTGAATCAGCACTGTATTCACAAGATATACGAATTGCTGAGCTTTTTTTCGAAGAACAGCTCTTGCAATCACCGTTGGTGGCAAGCTCTCTATATTTTTATATCATCTCTTGGTTGAAGGTCGTTGCGTTACCCTTGCACAGCGACCAAGAATCATGTCTGGTCTTGTAATACCAAGTTTGTATTACGAACCGGACTGAGGCATAAGCTCTGTTAATTTTTGCCCTCCCAATTAGTGAATTTTAGTGTGTCCAAAAACTCGTATGATGTGAAAGAAATTATGACACAAAAATTCGTATAGTTTTTGATTAAGCATCTTTGCACTAATTGGTATTCCGTGTATTAGATCTAAAAATTGAGTGCGAGGTTATGACAAGTTTCTAAATTTTTGATGGTTAAAGTTGATCATTAGTTTATAATCTGACCGTTTTTTTAGTTCGCAATATGGTATCGAAGATGCAGCTCTCTACGCCTCGGAGTGTGCTGAAATAATCGAGGAGTTGAGACCCTTGATTCCTATGTTGGACTGTGAGGGAGTGAAGAATGTGTGGATATGCAAACCAGGCGCACTATCCAGGGGCAGAGGTCACAACATTTCACTCTTATATCTAAACTATAATGTTCCAGCCTCTCTAGCTCTTTTTTCATAAAAAATACGGATACAGTAGTATCATGATGAGAATCCAGCTTCAAATTTTTTTTCAATTTTGCATCCTCCTAAAATTGTTCATTGCTTATGCTGGTTGTTTTTGGATTTTTTTGGCATAAGTTAATGATTAATTTGTAACTTTCTGCTTAGACCCATAAAGAATGCGGAGCGGACTAAGGTCCCAATTTTTTCATTACATTTTTAATACAAATAGTGTGCACTCTATGTAGTTTTTTGAAGATCTTTCATCTGAAATGGTTAACTTCATCCAGCTATTTTCCAGGCATCAGCTGCCAGAAGAATCTTGATGAGATCCTGAAGATGGTGCCCTCGTTAGTCGGGGTCAGGGAAGGCCAACTGGTGGTGCAGAGGTACATAGAGAGACCTCTGTTGATATACGGCACCAAGTTCGACATCCGCCAGTGGTTCCTGGTCACAGACTGGAACCCCCTCACAATCTGGTTCTACCGGAACAGTTACGTCAGACTTTGTAGTCAGGTGTACACTCTCGACAATCTGCAGCCGTAAGTTATCAAAGCGACAAATTATTTTCACTCATGTAAATACAATTCAATTTCAGCTCTTTACAGCATTCAAATTTGATTTTAAACAAGGATAGCCGGTTACTGTGCAAGTAGCACAGAATGTTCCGACCATAGTCTTTGAAAAACTATAAGAAATTTTTTTTCCAAGTTAGTGTATTTTTTGAGTGGTGTGATATTTTGAGTGGTGTGATAAAGGATCTGACGTAAAAATAAAGTTTAGCCATACTCGACAATCATAGTAATATAGGCAAACCGGGCAACAGATTTTGAAGAAAAATGACTAGAAAAAAAAACAAAATCAAATCATAAATTTTTCAATTTTTTTTTGCTGAAAATTTTTGAATTTTCGAAGTTTTTGATTCCCCAAAATGGCAAAAAAATCTCCAAAAACTTGTTTTACCGGAATAAAGGTAAAATTAAGCATAAATAGGTTATTTTAAACGGCCTAAGTTAATCTTTAGCTCGAATTGAGACGAAAAATCAAAATTTCAAACCGGTTTTTCTTGACACTAGAAAAACTTTTTCAAATTTTCTTATGTCTCTCGAATCACAACTGAAAGAGATTTAATAAAATATATCACTCAACTCTCTCCGATGATTATTTGTGGTACCTGATTTGGCGTGGAAAGCAAAAGAAAAATAAAAAACTAAAACACCCGAATACAAAGTTCCTCCCTATTTTTTGAAATGGTCGGAACAAAATCATATTAAGTAATCAATGTTCGGTTTTGATTCATTTGTCGCGTTATTTCACAACCCTTTAACACAATCTGGCGTTAATCACCTTCTCGATTAACATGGGTATTGTAATTGGGTCAGAGACTTTTATACTTAAGCAACTTTGCTCACAGAATTCGTTTTGCTAGCCGATTTGCTAGTTGTTCCGACTTCCAAAGAGAGTTAGGAAAATATATTCCCCCGTAGGTTTTTTTATTCAGACCAATTTACAAATGTTGACTGCGTATGGGCATTGATCCAAAAATTTTGTGATTGCCTAGCGAGTATACTTGCACTTGACTAAAGTGCGGCTTTGCTGCTGGAATATTACTTTTATAGTTTGTTTCAAAACGCGAATTACTTTCCGCGAGGCAACTTATCCGAATTCAAATCGTTCCAAATTGAATTTAGACAAGCTAATTGGTCTTATTGATTCTATAAACGACTCAAATTTTAACACTTTGATATTATCAACCTAAAATTTTTTAAATCAATATTTCATGTACCAAAAACGGTACGAGCCCAATTAATGGGCAGTCAGAACATTCAAGGCTTTGCCCTGATACGAGCAGTCTTGTTTGAACACCTAGTAAATAAAATATACAATTTAAAACGTTGCCACATATAAACATATATGTAAATGGAATCCGCAAACAAAATGCGGATTCCACTTACAATTTGCGGATTCCACTTACAATTTGCGGGTTCCACTTACAGTTGCGGATTCCGCAACAGCTCAATTTAACGATACAAATGTCTTATCATTTGTTTGTGGATTCCCCAAATACGGAAAAATTTTGGTTGATCTTGTTTTTGTTTTCTCGTCGATCCACAAGCGAAAGTACCGCAACATAAGAGCTGTTCGGCTCTTCAGGGAGAACCGCTGTTGCGCCCCTGCTTAAGAATTACATGCATTTTATGGCTGTTTTCCGGGCTGGCTAATGTTGCCTCAAACTCAGGCAACGAGCATGAATCATGGTGGTCCTCGAACATCCTACTTTTCGATTGAGAGGCGGAGATGTAACCACTCCACCCCGCTCCCCCTATTTTTGATATCTTTTTCGACTCATTTTCGTTTTGGTTTTCTTTCGGCTAATTTCCGTGCTATTTTCGTGTGTGTTGAAAATGGTGCTAAGCTTTGCTTCGCCTCACTGTTATTAAAGCTGGCTTTAAAAGAAATCTGCTGAAAAATACTGATGTTGGCTCAAATTTGCATGAACTTCTCTTGACTATCTGTGTGATCATAACGCTGCAAGACCATTTTTGACAACTGTTTTACGAAATAAAAGAGTTGAATATGCAGTAAAATCAACATAAAAAAGCAAATTGAACGTGGAAATTAAAAAGATAGGCGAAATGCGATAGTGCATCTCAATGTCTTTTTTAGGCATTAAATGTCCGTTTTAGATAAGATTTTTTTCTTTCCAAAAGGTAGGCGATGTAAAATGTTGAATAAAAATTTCCTTTCTAGGCAATATCACTTGTCCAATCAAAGTGTGCAGCACCACTACGAGAACCAATCAAATCGGCCCAAAGAACTGCCGAGTGAGAACATGCTCACTTCGGATGAGTTCGCCCACTACCTCAGGTACACAAACTCAATGATTTAAACAGAACATAAATACTTTTAAAATAGAAAAGAAAGAAAACGGTTGGAAAATTTGGACGCCTTAGCGAAAAACTGTTAACACTATTCTGGATATGAAGGTCTATGCATATGAAGAATTTTTATTTTTGGGTGGAAATTGCAATCAAATCAGAATCATTTACACTGAAATTGCGGGTTACGAACCCATGAAATTTGTCCGAAATTCTCTGCTAAATGTAAAACTACTACTTCGATCCTCATTGTTCCGTCGAATGTAATGAGAGATTTGATTGGTCGCTATTCGTTTTTAGAGAACAGGGTTACGGAGATGCGTTTGAGGAGTCCATCTATGTGAGGATGAAGGACATCATCGTCAGCACCATGCAGTGCTGTCAGGACACAGTCGAAAATAGAAAGGTCAGTAAACATCTGGAGTTATGTTTGGGACTCTCTTAAAACTAGCAAGATTAAGAGAATTTAATTTGTGATTTTGATTTTAAAACAAAACAATGAAGCCTTAAATTAACGTTGGATGGTCAAACAAGTCGTAAAAAACTTTTAAACGCAGTTTCATTCAAGAAAACTTGAGATTATAAAACTTTCAAAAAGTTTGTGTACTTTTCAGTATCCAAAAATGAATTTAGTGTCAAGTAATGTGGCAACTAAATTACGAACCATTGAGACACCGAACGGGTGTACTTTTTAAACCATTGGATTAAAAATTGTTGACAAGAATAAATGTTTCATTTTAGTGTTTTTCTGAGCCCAGATTTCGTTAGCTTTTTGGAAATTTTTGATAACCTAATTCGTGTTTTTTTTTTCAGCGAGAGTTCCCTTCAAATTGAGTAAAAATTGGCTTTGGCATCTAAGGCACCTTAAGAAGAGTTTTTTATTTGATAGTGCCAACGGGTAACTTCTTGGGCGGTCATATAGTCGAAGTGATATGATGGTCATAACATTCCTCTAAATTCGCCCCTGGATAGTTTTCCCTTCTATTTTATTTCAATACATACTAGAAATTATGTTATTAATGTTGTTGTTGTTGTGTGTAGAACTCGTTTGAGTTGTACGGGGCTGACTTCATGTTGGGGGAGGACTTGAGTGTGTGGCTGCTGGAGATCAACTGCAGTCCCGCCATGGGCGCCACCACCCACATCACCAAACAGTTCTGCTCACAGGTCATGGAGGACACACTCAAGGTCAGTCATTTAGCTGTCAATCAGTCACTCAGCTGTCAATCATAGGGCCACTCATTTGTTGATTATTCTTCATAGTTTTTCAATTTTCCGGGAGTTGAAAAAGTGTATTGTTACAAAATGCTTTTACATTAAAAAAAAGGTACATAAATTTTGGCAGTACTCTTATTGCTGTCTTTAGGCCATATAAGTTGTCTCTGATGTTGTGTTTCTGTTTCGTAACTGTTTTTTTTTACTTTTTTATGGCAGCTTATAAATTTTTATTGGTACTATCTTTATTAAGTCTAGTAAAAGATAGACAGACATAAAAACGGGGCAAACTGTCAAGTTATTACCGAAACCTATCATTTTCTACGGTAAAACTGCTTGACTTTTGTTTGTTCTTGTTTGTTTCATTAGTTTGGACAGTTTTTACTCCTCCACCTGCAAATTTTTAAATTAAAAGCTTTGTTTACAGTATCTATTAATAACTCAAATTGAAGCCCTTACTAATATGGCTACTCCGAGCATATTTGGTCTTCAAAGCTAAGCTTGTAAGTTCCCTCACTACTACATGAAATGTATGCTTATTTGAGGAGAGAGGAAAAATAGCCGTAACTTTTAGCAACAATTGTATCAGTTTAATCGCCCTCTATTTCTTGTTTTTGGACATATTTTATATCGAAGTTATTTCAAAGATACCAATCATAAACACAAAAATTTCCTTCGAAAATTTTTAACGGTAGAACATTTGATTGGCTATTTTTTTAGCTGAAGGATTTTCGCTTGGGGATCAACTCATCTCATATGCTTCATTTCAGTTACTTTTAAGGATTTTTTATGACGAAAGATTGAGCTAATATCCACTAACAAACCTACAAATACAAACCTAGTAGAGGTTTAGAAAAGTGTAAGTACATATTTGCTCAATATTTCATGACAAACAAAGACCTTTAAAATAACTGAAATGAAGCCTATAAGATGAGTGGATCCCCAAAAATTTTTCAGCTAAAAAATAGCCTTTTTCCATTATTACTTGAGAATATTAAAAACCATATCCTGCACACCACTATGTCATTTGTCTCTAAACAAAATCAAATATTTATTTCAGCCGATTAAGAGGACTATGTTATGAAACAATTCCAAATGCAGACACTAACCTATTAATACAAACCCAGAGATACACTATTCTACATCTTTATTAGGTTTGTATTTCTAGGTTTGTATCTCTAGGTTTGTATAACTAGGTTTGTGTCTGTATTTGGAATTGTTCGATAATCTACTCCTCTTAATCGGTCGCACCAAAGTATTCGATTTTTGTTTAGAGACAAATAGACATTGAGTGCAGGATATGGCTTAAATGTTCAAAAATTATTCATGTAATAATGGAAAAAGGCTATTGATACGAACTCAGTGACTTCTATATTCGATTCGCAATTCATTTCTATTAGATTGCTAGATTTAAATGCGTGCATATTTATTGACGTCAATTTTTTCCGGCTTTTGAAGAAATTTACGGATTATTTGTGTTAATTTCTAAGATCTCAATGCCCTGAGCTCAAAATTAAACTTATGGGTGTTCGAAAATTGCTTGTTTAAAAAATTAACGCTGGTATATTTTGTTTTTAAAGCATAAGCGGAAATTTAGTCTTTCTCAGAAAGTTTTTCGAACTGAATTGTGTTACGTTACCTTATGACTGCGTTAATAAACGCTAAGTTCATCATTTTCTACTTTAGATAGCGTCTGGGTCAAATTTCAAAAATCTGAAATAAAAAATTGTTTTTCGTTAAAGATTTAAACAAATCTTCCGATTCAGGCAATTTTAACACTTATAAAACTTCCTAAAGCACGGAAGCAAAGACAACTTTTTAAACTTTTTTTAAGCACGGAATTAATGTTTTAGTTTTTATTTTTATTGGGTTTTCAACAAAAGACTCTAACAGAGTATCAAATATGAACGGTTGAGTTTTCTTTGAATGAAATGGGAGTTTAAGTTTCACAAATTGGCTCTCCAATAATAACACTTCAGAATATTAAAAAGAAATTGCGCGCGAACATTTTACTTTACCCGAAAGTGATAAAAACCATTCTTTTAGACATTAGAGCAAAAGGAATAATTAAAAATTGCTTGTTAAAATCAACGCACTTCAAAATTTTGCGAGTATTTGAATGTTTCAAAAACAACTACCGTCTTAACTCAACATTGACGGTCAAGGCTATTCAATTTTAGATAGATAAGATAGACGAATTACTGATATTTGTTGAAAATTTGAACTAATAACTTATTTTATGATCGTGATGGGTTACGCCAAACAACACTCGAAACCCTTGTCATAACTTGTAACCAGGCATTGTAACCGGCTAAACGTTCCTCACTATAAGACTTGTTGTAATTTTTGTAGAAAATAAAGATGAATAATTCTCGGAAAGGTTTTTCGTTTTCAGAATTTTTTTGATGAGTGATATAATCCTTTTTGATGGACTGGCTCAAATAATAAAAATATTTCGATGAAATATGTTGAAACAACAAGTGAGTTTTTGTTCATGTTTTTTGTCTGCGTCTGTCCAAGTGTTAAAGTTATGTAACATTACTGCACGCGACAGTTCTTATTCTGAAGCAGGTAATGCGTAAGCAGCGAGCAAAAAGTTACTTCAAAGTTGAGGCGAGCTCATTCTTCAAGCTTTTCCTAAGTTTACCAAAGCTGCCACAATCTTCAGTCGCATCAAGATGCGACTGTATATGTTTCCAATACAAAACAATCATGGCTTTGTTTTGATGCAGGATTTTTTCAGCCTTTCTTTCAGAAAATTTTGAAAAAAAAAATGTTTTTGTGCATGTTGAACAAAACTAAAATTTACGAAAACCCAGATTTTTTGAAAAATGATAATGGACTAAAATCGTTTTTTCATATTAATTTTCATTGAAGACTTGTGCGATAATATTATAAAAAAATTATCAGCTGAAACTTCATGTGCAATAAATAATTTTGAGCATTAAGAAAAATTTCGACTTTTTTGCTTTTCAGATTAGTTTTTCATTGAACTAAATTTTCTCAAGAGTTTAGTTGAGCAAAATAAAGGAAGTAAAATAGTTGTTAAAACATGAAGCTGAGCTGTAATCAGCTGAGCTGACCTGTACGCTTAGCCTCTGACAAGATCTGAATATTTGCAAAATTAACCCAGCTTTGAGTTTCCCAATAACTTAAGCGTACCAAAACTTGTTTTAACGCGTAAAGCTTAAGGTATTATTTTCATATTCGACAAACAAAGTTTAAAAAAGAAGAAAAAAATTAACATCGAAATACTCGAAACAGAATTCCTATTAAAAAGTATTAAAAATTGAGAAAAAAAATTATTCAAAAAAGTCAGATTAAAATCATTCTAACTTGCAGTGAGGCAAAATTGAAAAATAATGTTTACTGAGCTGAATTAAATCGCGGCTTTTGCGATATTCGCACGAAGCTCATCGCGCGTTAATTGTCGCTAGTTGTCCAATTTGCGAATTTACAAGCCCCCATAACTTAACAAAAAAGTGTCAGTGTTCAAGTATCTTTTTTAATTTGAGTCCAGGATATCAATGCTTTTCAGTTGATATGAAAAATACCGTTCAAAAACGACAAATCAACAAATAGAATTTGGTCTGCAGAAAAAAAATAAACGGAGCACAAGCAATCAGTCACTTTTTCGAAAGTCGAAACAATAAAAACCATAAGCGGAACAGGAAAAAATCAAAAATTCTTAGATCTGCCTTCGCCATTGTTTTAATTATAAAATTTAAAAAGAAAGATGAGCTTAATCATGTTATAAAGCTATCACATGCTCAACTTTTTATTATTTTCTGGCTTTAAAATGGTGCAGTTGTAGCTTCGCACATCTAAAATTGTAAGCTTCTCGGCATGCATGAAAAACATGGATTTAAATTTTGAAAGTAACTTGGTATTTATTTTGTATAAGCGAAAATTATTGTTGGTTGTTGTGTTGTAGGTGGTGATTGACAGGAAAGAGAACAAAAACGCGGACACGGGCTGTTTCGAGTTAGCTGTTAAACAGGTAAAAAATTTCCTGCGATTACAAGTTTTGCACAAAAATTACTTGAATGATGCTTATATGTAGCCTCTTTTTGGTCTAACAGCAAAAAAAATTGTTGACCAAATTTGTTTTTTTTGGCTCTTTTTCAGTAACCCCCTTCATAAACGACTGTCTAAATCAAATAGCTTTCGGCGTTATAACCGTATCAGAGTGAGCAAGGCACCATATTTTCACGGCATCTCAAACCCGCAAGCTGTGTTTATGAACAATTTTGAAACAACTCTATGTTTATCGGCAATTCTAAGATGGGTTAAAAACTGGAAAAAAGCTGGTTTTTAAACTCTCTCTCGGTTTTCAATACGCCGACTAATTAGGCCATAACAAACATATTTTATCTTCGTACTTAACCTTGTAAAACCCCCCGTTACACCATAAATTAGAAGTTTATGATGAGAGTTAGGGGAGTCAAAAGATCCGGTTTTTCTTGGAGAGGGTCCTAAGAAGGTGTTATAATAGGCAGGGGCGGAGCCAGTTTCGGTTTCTTCAATTACTTAAATATTTTGTCGGTTTTCTCAATTTTAATGTTCTCACGTGCATAAATGAATGAACACGTGTGTTTAAAACCCGGAAGTTTTTCTTTTTAAGCTCCATCATAATCAGCATGTAGTGTTGTTGTCTTCGTTCGTGCAATGAGTCATCTGTATCACCAGTTGTTACCACCCATTCCGAGGCTATTTTTTACCTCCCAATTTTTTTTTTCAATAAAATGAAATGTAACATTGTGACCAAATCTACTTTTCTGTAAACTACCTTTTTGTGAACAAATTTTTGTTACTTATCTCGAAACGTGAAAAAAAAAAGATATTTTTACAGCGATGATGAGGTCAAAAACAGCCTCTCATTTTGATAAAAAGAAAACAGACTGATTCGTGTTTATTTTTACTGATAAATTTATTACCATTATTCCTATCTTGCAACTATGCTTTACCCAACTCAAGTAGCTTCTGCTTCGTCATCAGGGGGACGACAACTGCCTCCGCTAGCAACGCCAAAACTTAGAAGGACTCTTTTCTATTGTTAATTCGATCACCTCACCGCTATCATCTTTTTTTACCCTCCCCCGTTTGTTGGGCTTAAACAATTTGCAACCTGGGTTAGAACAATAAAGTATTTAGTATTCAAATGAATATATTTGACTGATTGAGATATCTGAAAATTAATGGAATGATGGGAATTTAGTTATCTGGATATGATGAATAAAGTGATGGTGTGGAATAAAGAGAAGAGTCCGTAGAAACAACAGCAGCAGAATCAACCAAACTAAACCTTTTTCCATTCGCAGCAGGCATTTTTGGGTCTCAAATGTTGATGACAATTTATGAAAATAACTGTATCTAATGTGAAAACACAAGAGCACTCAGAAAACTGAAAATTGAAATCTGTTAAGCTTCAAATAATGTTTTAGTTGCAATTGCAGATTGCAATATAAAGTGGTTTAGTTCGGTAATTTGCATGTTTGAAATATTCTCAAAATTAGTTTTACTTTTTCATGCAGACATGTTTTTTGCAGTTCAGAAATTCGACAGTCATTTTATATAAAAAAGCGATTGAAAACAGAATTTCAGAAAAATTGAAACCCCCTCCCCTAGTAGAGCCAGTGTCTCATATTTGGAATCAGACTTCATGTGTATTTGAAAGTCATTTTGCTTAATTGCCGTGGACTTCAAAAATACCTGCTTCTGGGCCGAAGATCTCCCGCACGGCCTCCGAGGCCTCTCAATCTCAGTACTAGTCACAACTTCTCAAACTATGGTCGACCAACCGAACTGTTACAGCGTCGAAATAGCTGCCCTCAAAACCGAAAGTCATCTTTGGAGGTTCCAAACTATCCTCAATTCATTGTCAAGACAACGAACCCGGGCGCACTTTATGTTGGCAATGCTGAGGACCAAAATTCATGTTATTTGGAGTCACCTCAGGGTCCAATTGGATACCCTAGCGTGCCTCATGATTCAAATAACTTTTATCTTGGCGTGCCGCAAGTGTCAAATTTTAATTTCCAAATTGCTCCTCAAGGTTCTCGATTTCTAGAACCGAGGGGTTCCGTAACGCCATTTGAGTCACCCGGGTCTAGTAGACGCGGTTCGGCTTGTTTGTCGGTGCCACCAAATGGCGATCGGGTGGAGCAATTTGACCTGAGTGTAAATGATGGTATAAGTGGTAGTGTTTTGCAGGGAGCCGTTCCAACTCCTCAATACACGGGTCAGAATTTGGTCGTGGAGGGGACACACATCAAGAAGCCATTCACCAATGTCCCCAAGTAAGACACTTATTTCAACCCATTTCTAAATCCAATAATGTTGTAGAAATTATTGAGCAAGTTGCTGCTCCTCAAGGCAAAAAGTCAACAATAAGTATAGAAAGACTGAGTGATAGCGTCTCAACCATACTAATAAAATTTGAGTTTCCTCAACAATTTTCTGCTACAAAATTTCATTAATTTATTGTGCTGTTAGAACTCAAAAGTAGAGGTGTTTGGTTTTGCAGATTACACATTGGCCACAAGTTTGGCCAGAATACTAACAGTATAAGTAGACACTTCAGTAACTTCACAAACATCAAACCCTCTAAGACCTCTAAACCCACTTTGTCCCATTCTAATCTGTCCTCCAGACTTTTCTCTCTCAAACGAAGTTCTTCTGAATCTTCTCTAATCCGCCCCACGCGTCTCTCCCGCGCTCCGAGTAAGTTTTCGATGTCCCGAAAAGCTAACCGAACGAACAGCGCGCGAACGCGCTCTCGGACGAGCCGAGGTGCTCCTAACTCAGCCTACGAAGTAACAGCCAGTACTTACTCGGCTGGAACAGATTCGGGTCTTCCAGATCGGCGGTCTCGTTCTCGCCGAATTGGACCGAGCACGTTGCCGAAATGTCGAACTGTGAAATCCGACCAGACGAGGCTGAGAGCCGCGAGTGGATCGGATGAGGCGCCGAGGTCCTACCGCTCAGCCGAGAGGAAGAGCAACACTGCTATCAGATCTCCCAGAGGAAGAGTCTTCTCCTCGCGAGTTCCCTCCAGCAGCTCCTCAGCGACCTTTGGTAACCCCGCATCTGTGCGCCCAACACCCGTGTCCTGGATTGGGCCCAAGGCAGGCTCCAAATCGGTGAATAAAAAGTTGTTCACTTTGAAACAAAATAGCCCTCTTGCGCTCAGAAACGGGCAAACCCTTTACGGGGCTAATTATTTGAAGCAAATGATTTTCACATGCAGTTATTACATTTTAGAGCAACTTCCCAATATACAAGTTGAGCAGGCTTCAGTAGAGAGGAACGAGGTTGAAAAGGTTTTCAGGAAAGTTACGATCATTTTACCCGCAATTCTCAGTATTTATTTGCCCAATTATTACGAAGAAGAAAACTCATTTAGCGATGTTCAGCTTCAAAGACTCAACAAGGACGACGAAGGAATCTCGGTGGTGTCAAGCGACTTAAGCAGTCGGAAACCATCTTTCGCATGCGACTACTCAACTAGTAACGACACAAAATCCTTCTCCTTTATTTCAGGCCTTCGAAGCGTCTTAAAAGATGGAACTAAAAATTGTCAGGACTCTACAAGATGTATTAAAAATGTAGTTTTTCGAAGTCCAATCGAGTCAGCTCGCGAAGCTTCGTTCGACGAATCAATGTCGACTTTGATAGACGGTAGCTCGGCCGAATCTCGCGAACTAAGTTTCCTCGCTTGTCAGTTGGAAAATGCGAACTTAATTCAGGAAGAAGAACAACAAAACTTACGAAGATCGATTAGACGAAATACAAACCAACTGAAAAGACAGAACTACCAAGTTTTAAGGACTCTTCGGAACCTTGCAATGCAGCGAGATAACAGTCGAAACGTACAAAGGTCAAATTCAGTCGGGGATTTGACCTGTTTGACCTCTAAGAGTGAATCGGAAAGCAGCTTTGGTGACTCATTTACAATAACTGGATGCAACGACTTTGCAAACCAAAATAGCCAATCTAACTCGTACCCTTTTGTGCCAAAAATATTCGAAACAGGGTTTGAAAACTTAGAAGACAACAGTAGTTTGATGAATGTTAGTCTAAATGGACAGAACTGCTCAACTAACCGATTGATATCGGGGGATTTGGGAAGCACCCCAACGTATGAAACGACTGAAAACTCAAACTCTAGTTTTGTAGATTCGACTAATTTGAACAGAGTTTTAACGAGGCAGCACAACGAGATGAATTGGAAACGCCGACAGTTCTTTGATGTTAGATCTAGAAGTCGTTTTGAAGCTGCTCAGACGAAAAGTCATCAGAACGACTCGGCTAATTTGGGTCTGACGATAGTCGGCTTACACCACCGTGGAGATATGGCTCAAAACGTGGCACCTCGGAGACTAAGTGCCCGAATTTATTCTGAAAAACTGCCGTATCCAGATATTTTTTTAGCTTTGCCATTAGAATTTTAAGGCCTTTTGGTTTCTACTCATACGAAATAACTTGAATAATTTAGGGACATTAAGATTTCTGTGATTATTCAATTCTTACCCAAAAACCTTAAGTCTGCGTCCCAAAAAAATTGCACACAAATAAAAAAGTACGAGTGCAAATTTGGTTTTTCCTTTTTTTAAGGTAACATCCGGAAAAAAAAATACGCAAAGCTTCTGGCCCAAAACAATAGACATATCGTTTTGTATGTAATGAAAGAATCAAACGTACATTTAGTTTTTTAAATAATTCAAGAAAAGGCAGTTTTTATGTGAAATTATAGACGAATTCAATTATCGCTACAGAAGACAATCGAGATGAAGGAAAACAGAAGAAGCATTCGAAAAGTCTTGACTAATCCAACTAACCATCTTAATATATATTTCAAAATTATGTGATTTTTAGAAGAGATTTAGCTGAGGTTTTAGCTGAGTTAATACGAAAACATTTCATTTTTTTCTGAACTAGTTATTTTTAAAGACCGATTATGCCGAGTTTAAAAATTAAAACCTGGCCACAGATGGAATTTGAACCGGTGTTCTTTAATTTGTTGACCATAGTTTTTGTGTGAATTTCAGGCTGTCATCTCTGATACTTAACGATGATTGGTTGAGCTCCGCCAAGGTTAAGTTGCAGGAGCGCATCCAGCTGGGAATGAAAAGCGCCCAGCGAAGGAAAAGATCATTTCATATCCCTTTAATCACTAAATAGATAGATCTACTAAGACTGCAATAGCATGTTTCATAGAGTTATTAGTAGATCAATAACTGTATTAATGTAATTTACCGACAGAGAAAAATCAACTAAAAGCATCATTAATCTAATTTTTTTTGGCTTTAATAATTTTGGCGTGTTTCTTTTAGAACACCGAATTCGGCTTCGTTTGATTTTTTATGGTTTTATTTTTTCAGGATTTAAACGAGAATTTATCATTGTTCCTGTCACGAACTGGAAACATTTTGTGCCACTCTCACAGCAACCGGCTACCCTTATTTCTTACAGTTTTTGTTTTTTGCGAATGCTACTGAAGTCGAAACTTGAACAGGAGCCAACTTTTCTTGTTTTGATGTACTTCAAACTACACATAAGTTTTAAATCAGCTCAACAAAAACAGGAACATTTTTTGCTATTTAAGGTATCTCGGTCCTAAATCATTGCACTATCCCTAAAAAAATTACCGTATGTATCTTTATATGTTCTTCAATATTGTGCTCCATAGAATGATTGAAAAAAGATATAAATAATGCGAAACAGCTGGTCACTTCTCTTATTCATTGACAATTGTTTCGATGAAAAATATAGACGAATAAATCATCTGATTTCAACGAAGTTAGCAGACTGTTGCAAATGAATTGTTGGTAAGAATAGGCTTTTTTCAACGCCTACAGTTTTTTTGAAATTTTCAGGGGTGTTTTTTTGGGGAGGGGGATTTATTTTAAGAATTAAACAGCTACCACAGTCAAACTTGGTGTTTTCAGATTCATAATCCAATGCGTTTAAATAATGATCATTGTAGAATATAATTACTCCCTAATCGATCATCCCATTAGGTTTTTTCATAATCTAGACAATGCTAGTTAGCGCAAAACATAGGTGGAGAACTTACTTATACGTTTAATTAAACAACGATATCAACTTGTTGTTCTGACTTTAAAAGAAAATGACGGATTATTTGTGCTATTTTTTCAGACACGTTTCAAATTTTTAGTTACTCACGTTTGATTGATTTTACACCAATGAATTTTTTTTATGTGGCTTTGAAAGTTGTCAATTTGGGATGGTTAACGCGCGATATACTTTGTGGTATTAAGGCGCAAGCGGCGATTTAATCCGACTCAGAAGTTGTTCCAAGTTCAATTGAACCAATTGTGTTGGTCTTGTTAAGATGTTACTGGACGTAATGTGCGCCACTTTGCATTTGTCATAGCGTCTGTGGTAGAAATGTTCAAGAAAACTGAAAAGAAAAATTAGGAAGTTTCATGTTTTTTTTTGAAAATTCCTTCGAATGTTCAAAAGCTATGCCTTAGACGTTAAAGGGAAGTCGGGGCATTCAGGGCGTCGTCTTGGTACAAAAATCTTGTTTAAAAAATTTATAGACTTTCTCTTTCATGAAGCAGCAACCATGAGCATATCTAGAAACTATGGCTCAATCGTTAAATAATAATTTTTGCTCCAATTTTCGTGGAAAGTAGCAGAAAATGTATGCTTGGGGAAGGTGTTTTTATTAGAGAAAGGGGCTGGGAAAAGGCCAATTTGGCTGTCTTCTGGGTTAATTTATGCGCGTTAACAAAAGATTTTACATGATATGATGCTGGCAACGTAAAGTGAGTCTTTATGCGTGGCTAATCGTTGAGCCGTAAAAGTTGTTTCAAAATGTAAATAAGCAAGCTTTGTTATCATATTATTTCCTTAATCCCCCTAAAATTAACTTTTTTAAATTTGATATTGGCTTTCCAAATTTACGCTATTGCGCTTGCGATTAGCAAGCGTTATCAAATCGGAATATAGGCTTTTTCGGGTCAACAACTTGTTCAACAGAATCAATTCGTATCTTGGTCCATATTGCAGACAATGTTTTTATTCTTGCGATAAGCACGCGCAAGACATTTCTATTCTTGCGATAAGCACGCGTTTTGCGATCAGGTACTAGGTTTTTTTCCCGTAAACAACTTTGTTCGCAGGACTCTTCTAGACTTTTCTTCTTTAGTGGTACCTCGTTTAATGATGAATTCGAATTACTTTGCGTTCCCGGTCCACAGATCCTGAAGGTAACGAATACATCTAGGACGGCAAGGTCCTGAGTTTGTATCTGAGGCGGACCTGTTTTTTTTTTCGAACGGGGAAATATTTCTATTTAATATTCTAATGGAAATATTCTATTCTAATCAAAAAAATTTCGGCTTATTATTTGTCTGCTTATGTTTTGTCGGCTTAGTTGTCACATTTTCAATTTTTTAGCTGTATGTAGGTTTACTTTTACTTGCTTCTTGTGTCTTCATTTCTTCTCAATTTGTATTTCTACTAGCCTTGACAACGTATAAATACATTTTTTTAAACTTTTTTTTTGCTTAAAAAATGTTTCGGCTTGAATGATTTTGGCTTTATCAGGTTACTAACCCCAATTTGGGTCGTTTGAGGGAAGCATAATTTGCATGCCTTCCTCCAGATTGCACAAAACGGTAGAAATTTCAGAATAGAATTTATAGTTGAAAGTTTTTCATGACAACAATTATTTTCGCTCATTGATTGTTTTTGAATTTTCATTAAACGCTATCGAATTTGTTTCCGGACATGTTTCCCGCAAATAAAACATCATTCAAGGCAAAATTTGGAAGTTATTTAGTTGTGATTTCTTCAAATTTTTTTCCGTCTCTTTGGACTTAGTGGCTCTTCTTTCATTTCCTGTCTGCTAGCTTGCAATGCTATTTTTGTGGTATCGCTTCTTCTCTGTGTCTTCAATATGAACCTTAATATCTTTTAGGCTCCCTTCCAATTGCTCTAGGGGGTAACACCGTCGCCTCTGCATCCTAAGTTCTGGGGTTCACGTCTCGGTCGGACCTTGTTTTTTCATTTTGGATGCAATTGAAAAAAAAATTCGATTAAAATTGAATTGTCCGACTCATTTGTCTGCTCAAATTTTGTAGGCTAAGTTGCCACAATACGGATTTTGGTTGAAGTGCAATTTTGTTGTTCATTCTAGGGGAGAACTTTTAGTTTTAATTCTTCTTATGCTGTAAGCAACTTTCATTGTAGTTGCAAAGGCAAGTGATATTCATTGTATTTTCAGGTGGGACTTAAAGCTTAAAGTTTTTGTTTTATAATCATATGCATTCCGTATTAAATTGTGTCTGCTCAAAGATTGTAGATTTTGTTGACTCTTTGTTTGTTTTGTTCTGTTGCTAATTTATCATTCGAACTTCTGGGAGTTTGGCCTGGAATGAATTTCTATCGAGACATTGAGAAATATTTAAAATTTTGGTAGACTAATTTTTTCATGGCTTTTAAAAATTTTTCGACGTGTTATGTTATTAATGTTTTTTTTTCGTTGCATCGCTTGTTAACGCTTTGCCCTGATATACTAGCTGTGTTGGTTTTATTCAGACCGATTCATTACGAGGCCAAACTGTGCACTGGGTAGGAGCACAATTTTGTGTCTGTATGTTCCTGGATTCCAGAGCCAAGTCTTTAAACATATTAAAATTTTATCGGAACGATCAAAGAAAATTAAAGAACAAAAGAAGAATTAAGGGAGCGTCCTTGTTGCGGAATCCGCTTACAATGCACAAAATGCACAGTTTGGCCTCGTAATGTTTCGAATTGTTTTTAAAAGTTTTGACGTAAAATTTTGAAAATCACCCATATGACGAATTTGGGATAATTAACGCGCAATATGTTGAAATGAGGCAAACAATTTAGTCTGGTTAATAAGCTACTAGAATCGAAATATATCATCTTCTACTTGATATAGCTTTTGGGGGGATAAATGGAAAAAGTTGCGAATAATTTTATTTTATTTTACTGAGCATTTCATCTGTTTGCCTAACGAAAGTCTTCTCATCAGCCTGTCAGAACATTACGGTATCGGGCTCTTACGAGCAATTTTGTAGTTTTTGTGTTCGAACGACGATAAGGTGTTTTTTATGGGGTTACAATATTGTAATTCAAACCCGTTTTTTTGCTGGCGTGAAGTTGAGCTCGATGAAATAGTTATTTAGGTAAAATGGTTAGTTAATTGTTGTGAAATTTGTTTTTATCTTTAACTGTTTGTTATCCTATCAGCAAAGTCTGAAGTAAATTATTAGATAAGAAATTTTGAGAGAAAAGCGTGAAAAATGTTTAATTTCATCTGTTCAAAATTGAAGTTGCAACTATTTTGTCCGATGACTGTTTGTGTTTCTCCTCAGAAGGTTCCTAAAAAAATGGCTTTTGTTGCGCTTTGTTGTTCACGCTGCTATTCTTTGCAAACAATCTTGTTTGAAATCATAATTTTTTGGTGAAAATTTGAAAAATATTGGGAGCCACTCACGAGAGAAAAGGCTAACATATGGGCTGTTACTCTTTTTCAGGGAGAACCGCCCTTTTTATCCTGACCTTTATGCAATTTTGGATATTTTTTGGGATGGAAATGTTGCGCTTGATGCAACCCTTGATGCGCTTGATGCAACCTCTTTTTCAGGGAGAACCGCCCTTTTTATCCTGACCTTTATGCAATTTTGGATATTTTTTGGGATGGAAATGTTGCGCTTGATGCAACCCTGCGGCAAATATTTAGCGATGCTACTCCATCTTAGCGGTCGAATTTAAAATGGTCGATATATAGATTCAATTAGTTTCTGGACCATTCTTAATGGGGAAAGGGAGCAAGTAAAAGAAAATAAGTAATCAGAGCGCATTCCAACATATTTTCTAAACATTTCTCAGATCCCGAGAAAATTTGAGGAAAATTAACATGCGGATGATCAGTTTTGGCAAAGTAAAATTTCTCTAGAGGTTCAAAATGGAACTCCAGTAGCAGTTTTGGTCCAGCTATAAAAAAGTGATAATAGTTTTTTAAACGTATTTGAAAATCTTACATCTGCCCTTGTATTGCATACATGCCTATCTATTGTCCGATTAGACTAGTCTTATTCAAGAAATCAGTTATGCTCTATCAGATATTTCTTTTCTCAAAGTAATTGGAACTAGCTCCTCTTTTTCAGGCCACTCTACGTGCCCCAAATTCCATCACGCTTTAATCTGACTCAGAGGGGGGACAAATCACGACCAGAAGACAATAATGGGGGAGGGGGGATGAACTCCCTTCCAACTTCACTCTTATCTCGTTCACACCATTCCCTTTCGGCTCACCATTCTCGCAACTCAATAGCCGAGAGGAACCGGCTCACTGCCAATAACCCAAACACGAGCGACGACTCTGAGTTGGGGACCAATCAGAATCAAGCTGCGAACAATCGGTTCAGTCGACATGCTTTTGACAAGAATTCTTCCGACCAGCCAGCGAAAGACTCTTTACGCCATAGAAGCATCCCAGAAATAGACTCCAATAGTAATTTACTGAAGGTTCCGAATTACATGTTGCCGAAACCTCGAAATTCGGATCTGAATGCCCCGAAAACAATCCCGATTATATCAGCCGACAGTAATCTAATCAAACATACTGCAGCGTCTAAGAGCAAGTCGTCTCTGGTAGACATCGACCAATCAGGATCAGGCTTGGGCGAAGCTTGGGGTAAAATGAAAATGACCCCGGGCCAATCATTACAACCTAACGTCCCCCCTCCGCCGCCGCACGCCATTGCGCGGGAAAAACCGACAACAATCCCGCCCAAATTAACCCCTCACAGTGAAACTACAAGTAAGTACAACGCTCCTGGTAGATTAAATACAATCGCAGTTACAGATTTCACATCTCTGCGAAGACGACATCAACAACTCATGAGTCCTAAGAAGCAAACGTTGGTTTTTGGACTTCCGGGGTCCAAGTTACGGGATCCTACTAAGAGCTACAGCGTCATTGAAGGAAGTTTAGTGAGAAGTAACCAATCTTTGTTTATTGGGAATGAGTACTCTGCAACTATAAGTAGAAATCACGCCCCTTATCACCATAGCACCCAGAATAATGACTTCAGTTTACTCCAAAGGTTGGCAGAGGCGCCGAGAATCTCCACCAAGAAGACTCTGCCTGTTAAAATTATGTATCCCAAGTACAGGGTACCAAATAAAAACGTATTTGCTATTGACGAAAAGCCGGTTTATTTTCTGGCTCCTGTAAAATCTACGATGCCGTTTGATTGACAAAACTTAACTGTGTAAATAGTCCAAACAGACTTCTTTCGTTATCTTGCCTGATTTTGTAAAGCTTTATATACGGTTTGTTTCCGCGTGTCTTTTACGATAGAATTTAAGGTTTTTAGTTGAAAACTGATTTCATAAAAAGCTTTATATTTTGAAGAGGGACAACTTATGTTATGCTCAATTCTAACTAATTCTGTTAACATGTGCGTGGGCTTGGATCCTAACAAAGAATTCGGTCGTAGATTTATTTAATACTTTCTTCTTTTTCCAAAAAGTCTCTTCGTTTAGGGTCAAAGAAACTACCTGCTTCTCAGCTTTACCCTTCTGTCATTCCGCTCTGTTGGACTAACCCGGAAAATCATAACACAACTAACTATCATAATACAGTTGCTACTTCAGTCTCTATTTTGACCCATGTGATTGGTCCAGAATTAGCCAATCAGCAGACAGAACGGCGACGCATAGTGCTTAACTACGGTAATGCCCTTCATTGCTCCACGAAAATGCCCTCAATACGGACTACAATTTTGCAGAGGGAAAAATACCGGGCCGAAGTAGAAGGCAACAGGTCGAAAACACGGAAAAAGGGCTGGAAAAAGTCAGAAAACCCGTTCGAAGTTCAATGTTACAACCAGAATCTGTAACGAGAATGTCCAAACTAATTAAATTGTTTTACTGTTTGTATCCAAATTAGCTATTTGCCTGCCAGTAGCTTTATTTATTTTGCTGCCATAAGTTTATCAGCTTTACAAATAAAAAGCTAAAAATCAATTTTTGATATGGAGTTTTTTTAAAAGTTTACTTTTTGATAACACTGATGAAGGTTTTTATGTATTGCAAGGACTCTTTTACCGTTTTTCGTCACCCAGAACAAAAAAATGCATTGATGCAGAAGCTAATTTATGAAAAGCTTACTTACTTTTCAGATAAATCTCAAAAAAATATTGGTTTTAATTAAGGAACATTGCTTTTTACCTTCGCCTCCGCTTATCAACAAAACTGGCTCCCGTTTGTGATCTATTGAGTTAGCAAAAACTTATATTTGAAGACCAAATGTCTTAGGCGTTGAAGAAAAATTGTTCCTTCCAAATTTAGTTTCAATCGTGAAATACGACGATTATTTTCAGAAAGGGAAAATAACATGTGGGGAAGTGATCAACGATACAAAACCAGAAAAAAAATTTTTTCCGGGAAATCAAGTTGGTCAATGAACTCTGAATAAAAATTGAATTCTATTAAATATTTTTCATGATATTACATCAATTTGTAAACCAGACTTGAGCCAACAATCTCAAAGGCAGACAGACTGAACTTTTGAGTTAAGTCCTAGAGGTTAACTCATAGAGTAATTTCGGATAGGGTACACGTCTGCTCGTCACGCTATCTTATTTTCGGCCGGATAGATTCGTGCAACTTAGTCTAATACCGATCCTAATCTTACTCTTATATCTACTAGTCTCAGGGTGTTTAACTAGTCTCTGCTAGGCTCAATAGATCTAGAGTATACTGGCTTTTTTCGACTGCTGAAGTTCTCTTGAAGAGGTAACTAATTTCTAAGTTAAATTCAAATCTCTCTGGTGCTGAAATTACAAGTAAATTCAGCACTTACAATTAAGTGGGTTGTTAGTTAGATGGAATATGATTGGTTAATATTAAATATTTTATAGTGATAAAATATCTAATTTATCCAATAATAAAATGTAGTTTAGATCAGGTTCCACCCATCCGGGGTTTACAGAGTTTTTAGATTTATCTTTCTTTCTGTAATTGAAGGATGGATGATGAAAGTTGGTATTTGGCGAACATCTTTTTCTTATCCGGTTGCTCTTGAAGAAGAACGTTCCAGGACGCTGGAATCAGGGATAGGAAGTTGTTATTATGTCATTCGACAACGACTGTGATCCCCAATGAAATCAATCTGATTTCAAAATGGTTTGCTATGTCAGATTTTTCTGTATTAGTAGAGAACTGTTTTGAGTGCAGCCTCGTCTGGGAATGGCGTGAGGATCGTGTTTGGAAGGGATGCCTTGGAACTCGGATCTGCACGTATACTTGAACATCGAGGTGGTCATTGGTCTAGTTCGATGAAGTCCTTTTCTCCGAAGTCAAGTCGTACAATAATCCTTTGAGTCGTGATTGTGGACGGCATGTCGGTTGTGTTAAGCCATTCTTTTGTTCGAGTGTGATGAGATCGTCTAGTCTTTGGATGTTTGTCTTTGTTGTTGTGTATGATCTATATACTGCATATTATGATTTAAATTTTATAAATTTCTGTTAATCTGGTTTTTAGTCATGATCTTAGTTAGTTGTTTTCACAAAAGCGTTTTAATTTAGTTCAGTTATTTTGAAGAGTTACTCACCCTTGAGTACCTCTTATTAAAAATTGAAGTGTGGTCACAAAGCGTGGGTGTAGCGCGGTGGGTTAGGCCGGCTATAAGCATGCTCAAGACGTCCTTCTCTGTTGGGTTAGGCCAGGAGTGGGAGTATGATTGCATGCTGTTTCTTTGAGAGGTCCTGTTATGTGATAACGTTTTATGAAGTTTAAAATTATAAATTTTTATCGTATCTAATTTTACTTCTTCTTGGGGAAATAATTTATAAATAAAAATATTATATTGGGTATGAATTTAACTACATTATTTAGTGCGAAAGATTTAGGAGTTTTATTTATAAATTAACAAATTTGTATTTTTATTTGTCTTTTTTCTGTTTTGTAGATGATTGTGGTGTGAAGACTAAAAGAATAAATTAAACATTGATAGAAAATGGTTAGTACAATTTTGAATTTATTAGTTAAAATTATTTTAATTCATATTTACCTTTTTCATCTGGGAAAAAGCCATGTGGGAAGATGTCGTGAATCAAGTCTGATGTTGTTAGTAACTTGGCTAGTATGCGTATGACGTTTTTTAGTTTGTAGCAGTGGCCAAAGCATTTGAAGTGCTTTGATCATATTTAGTTCTTCTGTGCCTACTGCGAATTCATGAGGTGTGTTTTGCATTAGGTTGTAAATTTTATGGTTATTTTTAGTATTATGAATAAACTCTAGTATGGGTATTTCAATGGGTTGTATGAATTCGTGCGGGATAATGAAGGGTCTTGATTCTTCATCATTGAAGGTCTTCGTAATGGGACAGAATATATACATTTGGGTGACTGGGTCGTAGTTGCGGAGGATGCCGTGGAGGTTAGTATTTTTAATGGAATATGTAAAATTACGAAAGAATGGTGACGTGTATTTTAAGTTAATAAACTGAAAACGATGGTGGGGTTGTCTTGATGGTGTGTGTAAATCAAAATGGTTTTTGTATAAAACGATAATATGTGTAAGTGTGCGTTTGCTTAGTGCGTAACATTATATCGTGGGAACAGTGCAAATCGCGTTCCTGTGGTGAAAGAAAGTGAAAGGTTAGTGAAACTAACTGAAACTTATCATAGAAGCTTTCATATGCTTGTATGTCAACTAGTGCTTCTGAAATTATATGATCGTGCTTTTTATCAAAAATATTAAGTGTAAATAAGTATGATGTTTTAATGAAAAATTTTTCGGTTAGTTGCGGGTTTGCAAAGCGATCTTCGTCTAAAAATTGATCTTGATTAGTACGGATGATATTATGATCGTAGTATTCTATTGAGAAATCGTTAGCTCGGGGTGCGGTGAATGTTTTTAATAATTTTTTATATCCAACATAAGTAAATTGTTGAGGTGTTAATGATGTGATGAGTCTATAAAGTATATTTTTGTTCTTCTCTATATTTTGAATAGTATTAGTTAGTTGTAGATAAAGGGGGTTAGTATAATTGTAGTAAGCTGTCCAATGAAGTATTGGCATTAAAACGTGCTCATCAACAAAATTTCGTGTTTCATTAGGAATGGTAGAAGTATTTAAGGTATATTGTGGAAATGAGGGTAGGGTTATTTCAAGAAAATTTTTTGTGTTTGTGTGTTCTGGGTGGTTGATATATTCTCTGGCTGTTCCGGGTTTGGTGGGAAATGGGTGATTTGGGAATTTTCGTTTAAAAGTGCGGTAAGCTCGGTTAGTGCTGGTAGGTGTTTTGGTGGATGTGGATGATTGAGCTAAAGACTAAGTGTAAGCTGAAGAGTTGGTGGATTTGATGATGTTACTGTTGATGATAGTTGATGTATCGTAAGAGTGTGGAGGTATGTTAATTGTTGTTGTAGTGTAATAAAATTGTCAAGTTCTTCGGAAATTTGGATGTTATCTGGGGAGTTATTATGTGATCTGTCGGAATTAAATAAAGAATAGGTTGGGGTTACTTGGGAAGCGTAAAAAGGAGTGGAAAGGGATGGGAGCGGATGACTGGTTTGGATGGGTTGAAAGGGGGTTTTGAAAAAACTGAAGAATTGGTCTGGGTATGGGTAGAGGGAGATGGTTCAGAGTCTGCGAATTCGTCGGGAGTTTCTACATCGGAGTTGTTAAATTGTGAGATGGTATGAAAAACTGAAATGTCTGAGTTAGTATCAGAATTCATGCTTGATGGTATATTAATAACTGAAGAATCGGGTGGCGGGAAAGCAAAAAGTGGTACAATTGGGATTTGAGTTTGGAGGTTGGCTGGGGGGAATTTGAGCGATGGAGGGATCCAATTTGTCGGCTCATCGTGGGCTAAAAAATGATTATTTTGAGACTGAAAAGTGGTGGTATGAGGTTGTTCAATAATTTGTTCATATGTATTATCATTTTGTGAATTATGTTTCATTATGTGTTGAATGGGACTTTGTGTTGTATTTGGTCTAAAATTTGGGTTATTTGTGATGGCTAGGTTTCGAAAGTTTCGGGGAACTAACGATAATGGATAGTTTTGTGGTAGTGTTGGTATCTGTGGTGCTGTAGATGTTGTATCTACATTATTATGTTCTTCATCATATGTGTTTGGTCTTGTGGATTGTTTTGTATTATATTCTTTTATTTGTGCATCTAAAAGTATTTTATTGATTGATGATGAGAAAATTCCAAAAAATCCTGCAAAATGTATACGTGCTACACTTGCTTGGCGGTTTACTTGTGTGTGTATAGCGCATGTGTTATAGATTCTTTTTAACAGTGAGAAAAGAAATCCTATAAAGTTAAACATGGCGTATAAGATAGTTAATTTCTCTAAGA